GGGAGGGGCGCAGAGCTGGCACATGGTCGGAGGCCAGCGGCTCTCGCCGATTCCAGTCTCATGGACGTGGGGATGGGGCTTCCTGCTGCCCTCGCCGATTCCAGCCTCGTGGACGTGGGGATGGGGCTCCTAGCTTGGAGCATGCCCCATGTCAGGAAGGCAGGAGACCCACCGAGACACCTGCGGCTTCAGTGGGCCAGTGGCTTCTAGGGGCTTGCAGGTGGCAGGAGAGTGACTGGGGAGGTTGGCCTGCTCCTTCATTTCTCTTGTGCAATGCGAACTCCGTGGGCCAACAGGGTAGGAGGCATTGAGCGAGGCCAAGGACAGCGGTACTGGGAGAAGCATTGTGGATCAGGGAGGTGGACCCAAATCCAGTGTAAGTTACAGGTCATCAAAGGACTTGCATCCAGACTATATAAAGAACTTGTACAGGCTGGGTGTGGAGGCTCACGCCTGTCATCCCAGCACTTTGGGAGGCTGAGGTAAGAGGATTGTCCGAGTCCAGGGGTTTGAGACCAGTCTGAGCAACTTGGCAAGACCTCGTCTCTACAGTAAATCAGAAAAAATTAGCCAGGCATGGTGGCGCATGCCTGCAGTTGTAGCTACTTGGAATGCTGAGGTGGAAGGATAGCTGAGCCCAGCAGGTCAAGGCTGTGGTGCCCATGAGCGTGCCACTGCACTCCAGCCTGGGTGACAGAGGGAGACTCTGACTCAAAAAAAAGAACTCATATGACTCAGTAAGTAGACCTATACTCTAATTAAAAACAGGCATAAGGTTTGGCTAGTCATCGCCACAAGGAGAAGCTGGTAAGCCCACGGAGGCACCAGCTGCAGCCACTGGGGACTGCGTAGTCGGTGTTGCTGGTGGAAGGGCGGAGTGCTGTGCCACATGGTGAGCAGTGAGGTGACTTCTTGTAGGTTCAGCACTCAGTACATGACCCAGCAACCCACTCTTAGGTTTTCACTCCAGAGAAATGACAAGCTGCGTTCACGTAAAGCATGGAAACAAATATGTATAGCAGCGTTGCTCATATTTGCCCCAACTAGAAGCAGTTGAAATGCCCATCAAATGCCCATCAAATGGGTAGCAAAATGTAGTGTTGCCATATGATGGAAGGCTACTCGGGAATGAAAAGACCATGGGCTGGGCACAACTCACGCCTGTAATCCCAACACTGTGAGGCTGAGGTGGGAGGATTGCCCAGGAATTCGAGACCAGCCTAGACAACATAGTAAGACCTCGTCTTCACAAAAAAGAAAGAAGAATACTAGCCAGGCCTTGTGGTGCTTGCCTGTCATCCTAGCTCCTTGGGAGGCTGAGGCGGAAGAATCACCAGAGCCCAGCAGGTTGAAGCTGCGGTGGCCTTGAGCGTGCCGCTGTACTCCAGCCTGGGGGACAGAGCGGACCCCCTACTGAGGAAGAAAGACCATGGACTCCTGATCCGTGGCAACACGGTGAATCTTAGAAACATCACGCCAAGTGCATGGCAGACATGAGAAAGACCGTGTCGTGTCTCATTTCATATACGTGAAATTCCTAAAAAGGGAAAGACTGTGGAGATAAGCCCGGCCAGCGACTTCAAGGGCCAAGAGCGGGGACTGACGTCGACCGATGCCAGGACGCTTTTGGAGGGGTTGGAGGCGTCGAACCTGGATCGTCGTGAGGCTGCACAACTGGACATTTTCCGCAAACCACTGATCTTCCCACTAACCCTATGGGTCAGAACCTTCGTGAAGTTTTTTGTTTTAAAGCAAATCTGAGGCCAGGCGTGTTGGCTCACGCCTGTAATCCCAGCACTTTGGGAGGCGAAGGGGAGAGGATTGCCTGAGCTCAGGTGTTTGAGAACAGCAGTTGTTTCTACCACACATCAAAAAATTAGCCATGTGTGGTGTTGCACGCCTGTAGTTCCAGCTACCTGGAAGGCTGAGGTGGAAGGATTGCCTGAGCCCAGCCAGTCGAGGCTGTGGTGGCTGTGAGCATGCCACTGCACTTCAGCCTGGGCAACAGAGTGAGACTCCAACTCAAAAAAAGAAAAAGTAGATGGGATCAGATCACAGACAAAAACCCAAGGCTATAGGCAATGCCTATGTGGGCCTCAGGCCTGGAGACGCAGACTGGTGACAGCCTCAGCGTCTCACCTGCTGTGTTGTGCCAGGCAGCAGGCAGCCAGGCATCTACCTGGAGGGAGCAGCCACTGGCATGGGAAGCATGATGTGTTCAGGGAGATGCATACAGATGCTGTTCCTAAGAAACTGTCAGAAGGAAACCTCAATAGGTGGCTCGAGTGAATGGCAGAGTCAGTACTGAAGAGCAGATTCGTGTGCTGAAAGACCTGGCGGGGATTCCTCCCATGATGAAGCATAACAAGACAGGCAGATGGAAGGAAGGAGGAAGAGTCTTGTCATGTCAGATTGCTCTGGGATTCAGCGGTTCTCTAATATGCGTTTTAAAAGAATAGAGGGTATGAACGAACTACTGTTAGAGCAGCCATTTAGAACTATTTCCCAGAACTAGAGAGAAACACGGTTCTTTAAATCGGCAGACTGACTGAGCTTAACTAATTTTACAAAGCCTCCGCCTAGACACACAGATTGGAACTTTTTTTTTTTGAGCTGGAGTCTCACTCTGTCACCCAGGCTGGAGTGCAGTGGCACACTCAACAGCCATTGTAGCCTCAACATGCTGGGCTCTGGCAATCCTCTCGCCTCAGTCTTTCAAGTAGCTGGGACTACACGGACATGCCACCACGCCTGGCTAATTCTTTGATTTACTGTAGAAATAAAGTCTTGCTAAATTGCTCAGGCTGGTTTCCAACCCATGGGCTCAGGCAGTCCTCTCACCTTGGCCTCCCACAGTGCTGGGATTATAGGCATGAGCCACCGTACCCAACCAGGAAGGAACTTCTAATGCCAAAAACAAAGTAAGTCCTGAAAGGGCCCAAACCTGACAGTGGTATGAATCTGATGCATGTTATAATTCAGCATGTGGCAAAATCAGTCTGGCATTCCATTTCAGAAATCACCGTTCTCTGGGGACAGGTTGTGCATCCCAGAAAGTCCTAAGTGTGCTTCCAAGCCTTGGGACAGACATGCCTTGATGGGCTTTGTTCATCATCCGAGACAGTTGCAGGCCCTTCTTTCCCTTTCATTGTTCTATTGAAGCAGCGGCCCTGTGTCCCAGAAAGAGCTTTGCCCTCAAAGAGTTGACGTTTACTAAGTAAGTTGTGTGTTATATTAAAAGGTTATATTAAAATTACAATGATATTTGGGGCTGGGCATGTTGGCTCATTCCTGCATTCCCAACTTCTTGGGAGGCCAAATGGGAGGATTGCTTGAGACCAGAAAGAGCTTTGCCCTCAAAGAGTTGACGTTTACTAAGTAAGTTGGGTATTAGATTTAAAAGCGATGAGTGCTGTGGAAAGGAAAATATTGCAAAGGGTAAGAGGGATCAGGGGTCCGGGGTGAGGGGAGGAGTCAGGCTGCCGTTCGACCAGGATCAAGAAAGGCCTCACTGACGAGGTCGCACCTAGGCAGAGGCTGAAGGAGCTGAGGGAGACGGTCATTCGGGAGTCTGCAGAAAGGAGGGTGAGCCAGGGCCTGGTTGTGAGAGGCAGGATGGATCTGGCTGTTCTGGCATAGCGAGGTCAGCGTGACCACCAGTGAGAAGTCAGAGAGAGTCAGAAGATGAAGTCAGATAATGGGGCTAGGTCATGGAGATACTTCTGGGCTACCAGACTGATACTTGGGCCCGGGCATGTTGGCTCGCTCCAGTATTCCCAACATCTGGGGAGGCCAAGTGGGAGGATTGCTTGAGACCATCCTGGGCACATAGTGAGACCCTATCTTTACAAAAACAAAAAATAAAAGGTTGGTGCGTGCCTGTAGTCCTGGCTACCCAGGAGGCTGAGACAGGAGCAGCGCTTTAGCCTGGAGGTCGAGGCTCCGGTGGGCCATGTTTGGACCAGTGCACTCCAGCCTGGGGGACAGAGCAAGACCCTGTCTCAGGACACAAAAATACGAAAAGGCTGTTTCATGACAGTCACAAGGCTTTGGTTAGAGGGCTGACATAATCTGAACTTGGTTGTCTTTGGACACAAGTATTGTGCACCATGGGCATTTGTCAGTTGACCACCATGAAACATTTTTAGGGATCTTGCACACCACTACAATTAGATAAATTCCAAATACCCCTGATTTCCCTGAAACTCTGTTGTCTGCACCTCTCTATAACAGTTTTCTATTCGTTTGGTTTCTTTAATTACAAGTGGTAGAAGTTCCACTGGCTAGCTTAAGTACAAAAGAAATGTACTGAAAGTAGAAATTGAAAAACCAGACTTCCTGAAGTTTAAAATAGCCCTGAGTAGCTAGCTAATAAGGATTGACTTTAGAATGACTCCGTTCTAACCACTAGGTCACTTCTCTGAAGATTTTCATTCTGGTAGAGTTTTGGCTAGTTTTAGTTTGAGTCATGTGCCCTTTCCTAGGCCTGCGGGCTGGAGGAGGGAGTGACCTGTCTTCAGGGACCGTCCCACCACTTTTGAGAATTTGCCTGTACATATGTGTATATTGCTGGTGAAATGACAGGTACAAGATTGTTCACTGCAGCGTTGTATTGGTAATAGCAAATTGTCTATCAGTATCTGGTGTCAACAAAAAGTAAGGTATAGACAGAGAATAGAGTATGTTTAAATAAAGTTTACACATGAGATTTTTGATAACTCTATGGAGTGTTTGTTTTGAAGACTTTGCCTTGGCCATCTTCACCTACCCAGTCTTTGTGCCTCTTGTATGTGTCCTCGTTCAGTTCTGAGACATAAGCTAAAACTGGTAACAGGGTGCCATGTATCCTAGAGCAAGGATCATGGAGCACTGTGTCCCCCTCACTGTGGCACATTCTGTGTGTGGCAGAAGTTGACCTCATCAGATGCCGATGTCAAGTGATTGTATTGCTTTGCTACAGAGCAGGTTTTGGATATCAGGTGACGTTTTTTCCCCTGTAGCTCAACAGAGCATTCCAAGAGGAGGACTCTCCGGCTACTTTCTATTGCATCAGTATGCAGTGGTTTCGAGAATGGGAAAGTTTTGTGAAGGGTAAAGATGGAGGTAAGTGGTTGGCTGAACGATACAATGTTTTGTTTTTTGCAATTGACTCGCATTAACTGAGTATCTTATGAGCCCTGGCTGGCGATGACCCCATTGAACAAAAAGAGAAGGGCCTGCCCTCAGGGAGCATACATTCTAGTTTGCATTCTGATGGCTTTAAGTTTTTTAAAACCTATTTTGATGAAGTAAAGCATGCTTTTATGAATTTGACTTTTATTTATTATTTTGAGTAGGCATCCCACTTTGTTGCTCAGGCTGGAGTGCAGTGGCATGCTCACAGTCACAGCAGCCTCAATCTGCTGGGCTCAGGTGATCCTTCTGCCTCCGCCTTCCAGGTAGCGGGAACTACAGGCAAGCGCCACCATGCCTGGTAATTACTTATTTTTTGTAGAGATGAGGTCTTGCCAAGTTGCCCTGGCTGGTCTCGAACCCTGGGCTTAGGCAGTCCTCTTATCTCTGCCTCCCAAAGTGCTGGGATGACAGGCATGAGGCACCACCCATGGCCTATGTGAACTTTTTTTTTTTTTTTTTTGAGTAGGAGTCTCACTCTGTTGCCAAGGCTGGAATGTAGTGGTATGCTCATGGCCACCCCACCAGCGTTGACCTGCTGGGCTCCGTGATCCTTCTGCCTCACCCTTCCTAGTAGCCAGAACTACAGGCGTGCACTCCCTCACCCGGCTAATTTTTGATTGATTGTAGAGATGAGGTCTCGCCAAGTTGCCCGGGCTGGTCTCGAACCCGTGGCCTCAGGCCATCCACTTGCCTCAGCCTCTCAAATTGCTGGGATTACAGGCCTGAGCCATGGCGCCCAGTTTTACTTTCTTTTAAATGGCAAAGAAGTTGTTACTTTATAGCTTTGTGGTGAATAGTTCTTTCCGTTAGCCCTTCAGCGGTTGTGGGACAGCCTCCCCGCCTGCTTTCCTGGTTCGGTTTTGGGGGAACCAAGACCCCAAAATGAAGACACCCAGGAGAAGACATTCAGAAGTGACCAAGATAATTTGGCTAAAAGATAACCTATCTCATTACATAGTGACAGCTCTCAGTTATTTCAAGCACAAAGTTATACAGTGCCAGGTGCGTTTCTTTGAGAAGCAGGCGCGTTGGTGATTTGTCTTGTTTTCCTGTGGCCTAGATCCTCCAGGCCCCATCGACAACACGAAGATTGCCGTCGCCAAGTGTGGGAATGTGACGCTCAGGCAAGGTGAGTCGGACTGCCGGAGCCTTACCTGTTTGTGGTTTGTCACTGTTGGGAACGTGGCCATGGCATACCACAGTGGCCCTGCTTTACCCAGCTCGATCAAGAATGTAATGCCCAGACATGAACTAGGACAAACAGTGGAAAACAGCCAATGTTTTGCTTTTTTTGAGAAAGGTTTTAAGGGTGTTGGTGGGAGCTAGGAAAAGGCATCTCTGACTCGTTCAGACCGTCTGTCGCAGCTTATGGCAGTGTGGGGTGGGAGGCTGAGATTCCTGTTCTAAAAGTCTTTGGTTATCCCTGGAGGAGGCATGTGGTGGGGGGCGGGGGGAGATATTATGAAAGCTTTTGCGGCAGGAACACGAAGGTTTGTAGACATTATTCTCGCCTCGTAATTCTAGGAGCAGATTCTGGCCAGATTTCTGAAGAAACATGGAATTTTCTGCAGTCTATTTATGGAGGAGGGCCTGAAGTTATTCTGCGACCCCCAGTCGTTCACGTTGACCCTGACGTACTACAAGCAGAAGAAAAAATTGAAGTAGAAACTCGATCTTTGTAGCTTTGAGGGTACAGAGAGTTCTAATGATCCCTGACATAATCACGTGCGAAAACATTCCTAAAAGCCTGTTTGTTTTCTTGAGTTTTAAAATCTTTTATCCATCTCTTTCTTCTTAGTGGGCATTATTGAAGAATGTGTTAAAATGTGTAATATACTACAGGTCAGTATATTTAATGTTAAACACTTTCCAGGAAGTCTTTCGGTGTTGTATTTTTGAAAGAGAAGGACCATTGTGAGATCCACGGTTCTCTCTGGCCTTTGGACTACATGCAGGTCCACAGTATCCTTTGTCGTGTTGTAAATACTTTTGCTTTGGAAACTTTTTCATTACCCTAAATCATCGTAACTCTGACCAGTCTCTTCAGTTCTCCAAAAGCCTAACTCAACTGTATAGTTTTGACATGGCTTCATATAATAAAGAGCCTATTTCAAATTGAGAGTAGCAGTTGGAAACTGGTTGTTAATTTCCTAAAGCTCAGGAACCGTCAGGGTGTCACTTCTTTTGCACTGCAACACATTTACACTAGCAGATGAAAATTCACAAAATGTCTTTTTGAATGTATCAAGGATGTATTTAGTTTGAGTGGAATTTGTCAGCAGATATCAGTAACTTATTGCCGCTTATATTGTAAAATGTTAAACTTTAATTCTTGTAATCCTGGATGGTATTCATAAATGTCAGTAACTAAAAGCAACTTAGACTTAGCTTTAGGGCACTTTTTCTTTTGTGAGCATGAAGTATAGAATGTGTCAATGAGATTGTTGATAAAGCTGAGGCCACCTGCAAATTGATTTTTTAAATACATATAGTCTTTTTGAATAATATAGTGTGCACTGCTGTTTGCTTGATTATGTCATGTCAAAAATTTAACTATATTCCAAGTATAAAGACGTCCTGGCTGACATTGAGAATGTTGACCGGCACTCAGGATGGCTTTGTTTTGTTTGGGGCAGCTGTCCCAGCTAAGGCAATGTTAAAATTAGCTCAATAAAAGTGATTTTAAAATGAACTTGAATGTTGAACTTATTTGACAGATATTAAAGGTGAAGGGTTTGTTAATATTTATGCCATCTTATTTCTTAATCAGAAGTATGCAAATAAGTCATTTAGTGTAGTAAAAGGTTTTGATGTTTAATGGAATGATGACTATTAATCAGCCACTTAAGTTCTATTTGAATTTTTTTTGAATCAGAATCTCACAGTCACCCAGGAAGGAGTGTAATGGCACGCTTATGGCCACTGCAGTGCTGGGATTCCAACATGAGCCACTGCACTTAGCTGAGTTTTTTTTTTAAATAAAGGCTTTAGTTTTCTTCCATAATTATACTACGATCTTCCTCAAGGACCGCATGATGTTATTGATCTTCTCTGAATCACCAGAATTTAGTGTAATGCCTAGTATTTAGTACTTACTCAAAAAAGATTTGTTTTTGATAGTACATGCCATTTATTGAATATTTACAATGTTTCAGTCATTCAACTAAAGTGCTTTCGTTAGCCAGGTGCAATGGCTCATGCCTGTAATCCTACCACTTTTGGAGACCAAGGCAAGAGAATTACCTGAGCTCAAGCGTTCGAGACCAGCCTGGACAACTTGGCAAGACCTTATCTGTACAATAAATAAAAAAATTAGCTGGGCATAGTGGTACATGCCTATAATTCCAGCTACTTGTAAGGCTGACGTGGAAGGATCGCCTGAGCTCAGCAGGTTGAGGTTGAGGTTGTGGTGGCTGTGACCATGCCACTGCAGTCCAGCCTGGGCAACAGTGAGACTCTGACTCACAGATTAAAAAAAAAAACAAAACAGACAGACAGTGCTTTCCTTACATTTAATCTTCCTAACAACTCTTTGATGCAGGTTAAGCGGCTTGTTTAAAGTCATACAGCAGAAAAGTGGCAGACATGGGACTAACTCAAGTCATGCTCTTATTCACCATAATATTTCCAAATGAATTCCTTTGAAACTGGCTATGGTATCAGTCATATTCAATAATTACAGGTTATTGGGATATGTAATATTATAAGGAATACTGGTCCCTTAGAGTTTATATACTTTTCTTACATTATAATTGTCAAAGTACATATGTTAAGTAAAGGGGTAGTGGTACCATAGACTTCTAGCTGAAGGTTGGCCAATGTGGAATAAAAGAAATAGTTTCTCTAAGAAAGATTTTCTTAAAGACATTTAAGCTGGCCGGGCACAGTGGCTCACACCTGTACTCCCAGCACTTTGGGAGGCGGAGGCGAGAGGATTGCCTGATCCCAGGGGTTCGAGACAAGCCTGGACAACTTGGTGAGACCTTATCTCTACAATAAATCAAAAAATTAGCCAGGTGTGATGGCACATGCCTGTAGTTCCAGTTACTTGGAAGGCTGAGGTGTAAGGATTACCTGAGCCCAGCAGCTTGAGGCTGCAGTGGCCGTGAGCATGCCACTGCACTCCAGCCTGGGTGATAGAGTGAGACTCCGACTCAAAAAAAAAAAAAAAAAAAGAAACATTTAAGCTAAGAAGTGTTATTGGCTCACGCCTGTAATCCCAGTTTTGGGAGGCTGAGATGAGAGGATCCCTTAAGGCCAGGCATTTGAGACCAGCATGAGCAACATAGCAAGACCATGTCTCCACAAAAAATAAAAACAATTAACCAGGGATGATGGCATGCACCTGCAGTCCCATTTATGTGGGAGGCTGAAGTGGAAGGGTTGCCTGAGCCTTTGCAGTCAAAGGAATAGTGAGAACCTACATGTTAGGAGCCTACTGATTTATAATATGAAGGCTATTCTTTTGGGGCCCTGGAGTCAGTTTGCCTAAATGCAAATCCTAGTAGTTACATCACCTCCCAGCCATGAGTTAGAATGATAGTTAAAGTTCTGTGATCTCCAGTTTTCTTCATAGGGACTTGTTGGGAAGCAACGTGGGTGGCAGAAAATGAGAGGAACAGGATTGAACCAAAGAAGTGACCAGAATGCTGCAGTCCTGATGAACTCTACCAGCCCCATAAGACGAACTGGAGCTCAGCCACTGGAGTCCTGCACTGAGCAGAAATGGCCCGGCCCTTGTGTGGTCATGAGGTGTTGTTCTACCACTGACTACCTGGTTGCCTGTGGAGAAGGAACTCGGCTCGCCCTGCACAGAGCTACCAGGCTGTCACCCAACCACTTCCTCCACTGGGTGGCAAGTTCTTGCTTGAAGAGGGGTCTCAACAGCACGTCTCTGTGTCTGCAACACTCCATCAAGGGATCATGGTAATTATGTGTATTGTTATATATAGCACACATAACATAATTGTACCCAGTGATGCAATCCCTTCTCCTCTTTCTCCTTTTCAAAAATGGGTAATTCTAAGGATGCAAGTCTCGGCAAAAATATTTAATCTGAGCCTAAACATGAGGGAGGATAAGATAATTTTCAGCAGTTTTTTCTTTTTTTGAGAAACTTGCCCATGGCGGTCTTTTTGGCATGGATCTTACTTTGTCCTTCTCTTCTTGCTAATAAACCCTGTCTTAAAACATTTTTTTAAAGAGATGATTTTCAAAAAGGCGTATTGTACAAAAACACTGTCCTGGACACTTAAAAAATGTTAAAATAGACAAGATGCTGGATGAGTGTAAGAGAATATACAACCAAATGCAATATGTGATCCTTGATTTGGGTCCTGGATTGGAGGAAATAATCTATGAGGAACAATATTGGGACAAGCTGGGGACCTTTGAATAAGGACTATGTGTCAGATAATATTACTGTATCAATGTCAAGTTTCTTGAGTAGGATAACTAGTAATATAGGAGAATTACCTTGTTAGGGAATAAATGCAGAAATGCTAGTTTTTTAAGGGCTGAAGTCATGCTGATTTGAAATATACACAGGTGAGACCATGAGAGTTTCTTTCCCTAAGATATGTTGTTCAAGTCTTTCAAATTCACAGAATTGCTTTTAGCCTAGAGTGATATAATAAAGATGCCTGTGAAATTAACTTTTTTTTTTTTTTGAGTTGGAGTCTCACTCTGTCACCCAGACTGGAGTGCAGTGGCCACTCCTGGCCACCGCAGCCTCGACCCACTGGGCTCCGGCGATCCTTCTGCCTCAGCCTTCCAAGTAGCTGTAACTACAGGCGCACGCTACCATGCCCGGCTAATTTTTTTGATTCATTGTAGAGATGAGGTCTCGCCAAGTTGCCCATGTGGGTCTTGAACCTGTGGGCTCAGGCATTCCACTCACCTCGGCCTCCCAGAGTACGGGATTACAGGCTGAGCCACCAAGCCCAGCCAGCCAGCTAATTAAAACAAAATTTTTTTGTAGAGATGGGGTCTTGCTGGTCTTGAACTCCTGGGCTCAAGCAATCTTCCCACCTGGGCTTCTCAACGTGCTGGGATTGAAGGCGTGAGCTACCGTGCCTGGCTTATACTGGTATTTTCGGTGAGTGATGTCTTTTTAGAGGCAAGTGAGGCAGAACTGTTCAACATGTGCCCACTACACTGGCCTTTTTAGTGGTGCATGTTATCTTCCCCACTACACAGTAAGCAGTAGAAGGTTTTTTTGCTCGCCATCCCCGTTGTTTAACATTGTATATGAAGCAAAGTAGGTTCCTGGTAAATGAATGAGTCTAATAGGTTCAGGTTGTGGATGCGTCTTCAAATTTCCTCCTCCCGGGTTTTTGGGTACCACTCTGATTTTTCTTTCACTGTTTGGGTCTCTCATTGCTCATCTGTGGCTTTTACTTTCTTTCCAACAGTGTTAGTGTTTCCCAGGGTTTTGTTCTTGATTTTCAGTTCTTACTCTCTGTGCCCTCCCTGAGCAACCAAATCTAAACCCAAGGTCCCTGTTGCTATTTGTAAGCCGAAGACTCACACATCTGTGCTCCTGGCTCAGCCCTGGAGCAGCACCTGAGACGTGCATGTTCAGCGGGCTCCCAGGCAGTTGCATCTGGCTGTATGGCACTACCTTGAACTCGGTGCGCCCTGATGGAACACGTCCTCCCCCACCAGACTGCTCCTACTTGAGTGTTATCTGTGGTCGTCAATGACAACTAAGCCAGGAGTCCTGGATGTTCTTTCCACTTGCCCACAAATTCAAATAACTACCCAGATCTTGGCAATTCAGCCCATCTGGATACCTGCTGTATTTGGACATGAGGGCACCATCAAACCGACCAAAAGAGTATGAAAGTGCCTCCAAATGGAAACACAAATTTTGAAACCATCTCTTGAAGTTCTGAAGAATATTGAACAATGTAGGAGAAAGGCATCTGATGTAGTGGAAGAAACTAGGACACTTGATTTCATATCAGATTTTACATGTGCCCATAGGAGAAAACAGTGGTTTCTTTCGGGCAATAGTATTAAGTTCCACCCCACATAAGGGGCTTTGCCTCAGTTGTTCTGTTTCACCAGGATTTCTATCTACCCTTGCCCAACTAACTCCCAGATGCATTCACATTTTAGGTCTCAGCATGGACGTTTCTTCCCCAAAGATCCTTTAGAATGTGTGCTTTGGGCATTTGGTCAGTCTCACCATGACTTGCACTCCACCACGGTCCTTACCAGTCTGCACTGATACACAGTATTCATGGGGTTACGTCTTTACCATCCGCTTCCCTCCCTGGACTGCAGGTCTGCTGCAGCGGGCCCAGCGCTTGCTTTGTTCAAACTGCGTCTCTAGCACCTCATACAGCCCCTGGAATATTTGCTGAGAGAACCAGTGAACGATTGCACTCCATCAACGGTGTTTCCAGCATGTCCCGGGCAGTGCCCATGTGCTGTGGCAAGGGACTGAGGGACACGGCAGTTGGTGGCCCACTCACAGGCCCTCTTTTATTTGGGCCAAATATTGGGTCCTGGCATAACACTGTGATAAGAGGATGACCAGGGCCTCAAAAAACACTGTTCAGGTTGGGCACAGTAGCTCAAGCCTGTAATCCCGGCACTTTGGGAGGCCGAGGCAAGAGGATTGCCTGAGCTTGGGGGTTCAAGATCAGCCAGGACAACTTGGTAGACCCTGTCTCTACAATAAAG